TGCTGCACTCTTGTTTTCAAGTCTACAATTTGACGAAGTACTCGTGAGCTGTTTATATACCTGATGTGCCTTTGTCTAATGAGCACGCGAGCATGGACAGCTTTATCTCATCTTCGTAAAAAAGTTGTTTCTCATGTGCAATGCCAATGCATCTTCCTGCAAACCCTTTTCGGCATGGAAAGAAAGAGCTTCGAAGAAACCCAGCAAGGAAAAGGGAAAATAAAACTTGGGTTCCTTTTAGAAATCTTGAATTTTCCTGCTAGATTTTAGTCTGCAAAATTTGTGTGTGTGAATGGGGTAGAAAGATAGTCTCGTGCGGGAGTGTTTGTGGGCGTCAGTGATGCATGTAAATTGCGCAACGGATCATCAAGTTGTCTGTTTGAATGGTGAAGATGATGAAAAGAGGACAGAGGTTGTTTGGGTTTTAGGATTTTTTCCCTTGATAAATTGTGATTTTATTAGAGAGTTTTTGTTTTACCTGGTTTTGGTTAAAGAAATTAAGTTTTCTGTTCGGTTAATCGATTAATCAATTTAACATGGTCCGAGTTCGGTTATTTGAGGGTTTGGTTTATCAAGAAACACTTGACAAGATTATAAGGAGTGAGACAGGATGTAATACAAAAGATCCGTTGCAGATTTAAACTCCCACCTACAACTAGCCACTAAGCCAAGCTCAGTGGTACTTGACAAAATATTTTGGCACTTGACAAAGCGGTTTCTCTACTAAGCGCAGAGAGACTCGGTTCAACCATTTAACTGCATCCTTACTCTATCCAGAAATGGCAAATTGATGAGTTACTCAAGATTTGGATGGTTCACACGAAGGGTTCTAAAAATAGATAAAATCAGTCAAAGACAGCTAATTAACACTTTATTTTATTTAATTGTCAATCAATGTTACGTGTATCAAAGGAAGGTTGTATAAGACAATATTCTAGTCAAATTGGAGCTATTAACCTACTTTGACTAGTGAATACGCAGCAAAAACTGGAATAGCTCATGATCCAACCTATTCTTAATCATCCGACGAAAGGGCAACTAGTCCTTTTCTAAGATGACACAAGACCAATCATATGCATTCTTTTGCTAGAAGGTAGGAGCAAGTCCAATAACTCGGCAAGAAACCATTTTTCTTTCTTTGGGGCCAAAGACAGTAAGAAACTGTAGTTGAAAGAAGACATATACCACCAAGCATTGGAAGAGAGAGAGAAAGAGAAGCCAAAAAGGACCTGTACGTAACAAATATCTAGCCTTCGACCCATAGACTTAAACTAGGGATAATTGCAGAAACCTCCCTTGAGGTTTGTAATAGTTGGATTGACGTCCCCTAAGATTTTAAACATAGCACTAACATCCCCTGAACTTAAGTTTTTTGATAGCAGATTTAGCCTATATCAGAGAAAATGCCATTAAAAAATCTTTTGAGAAATAAGATAATAATTTTGTTTCATTTGTAACTTTTTGTCTCTTGTAAGGCTGGATTAGTAAAAGAATGAAAAACATTAAAAAATGAAAACAATTAGTGAAACACTTAGGCTGCAGTAGCAATAACTAGAAGAAACAACGAATATACGTTCAGAAATTTGAGATTCTAAAACATATAAAATGTACAAACAACTCCAAAAACTCTCATTTACTAAAGAAACTTTTTGAATTAAATTGAGATGACAATGGATTACTTACCTATTATCTCTTGATTGTCGTAAATTTTTAATAAAAAAATCCTTAGATTTTGCCTTGATTTCTACTTACTTTCTCCTTTCATTTCATGAATACTTAAGATAAAGTAAGATCAACCAAAACCACTAGAACTTATTCTTTTATGGAACCCTTTTTGGAGGTTTCTTTCCCCTACATTTTTCTTGCTTCTGCTTCTCTTCTACGCAAATAATATATAACTTGGACTGTCCTCTCAAGTGTTGTCAATTACAAAATAATGCCACATCGGAGCATCAATTTGCGTCATTTTGTAAGTATACTGACAATGTTTAATCAGATAAGAAATAACCGTTAATCTTGTTTAATTAGTTACCATGAACTTGTTAATTGCCCTAATTTTTTTTTGCCCCAAATTTGTTTACAAACAACCTTAAACTCTAAGGATATGTAAGTAAATTCATCCTATCTTGCGTTAGCTATATATAGACCCCAAATTCATGCTAGGGGAGGTAAGTGCTATTTTCAAAATCTCAAAAGAGATGAGTGTAACTGTTAAAAACCTTGGGGAGGTTTCTGCAATTATCCCCTTAAACTATAGGCTGGACCTTTGCCTGCATGAGATACTTGCACATCACTGATTGTCATTAGGTTTCAAACTCAACATAAAGGGCTGCAGCATTTTTTGGATTATTATCATTTTACCCCCTTAACATTCGGTGCTACTATTAATTTCTCCCTTAACATTACCTTTAAATCACTTTACCCCCAAGACTAACAGTCAAACTTGACGGAGTTTGTTAATTAAAGTAAAAATACATGTTTAGCCCTTAAAATTATTATCACTTTACCCCCCATAAACTATAGTTTCATTATCAATTTACCTCTAGAGTTATTTTTTAGACAATTTATCCTACCATTAAACCAATTTAGTAAGTTAAAAAAACTTTAGAAGAAAGTACCCTACTCTTTGTATAATAAAAATAATAAAAATTTTAGAGTGGCTCTTCTCCTTTTTAGTATTAAGAAAAAGGTCAAAATATTAACCTTTTTCTTCTTGGCAATCTTATTAATATTGAAAAAAATAGAAAGATGGGGAGGGGGAAGGGGAGGGGGGGAGAGAGAGAGAGAGAGAGAGTTCAATTCATTTTTTAAACAAATATAAATAAAAAAAATTAAGTACTTTTATTATTTTAAAATTATTTCACTTTTCTGTTTATTACCAAATTTCAATTCTAAACTCGACAACTTTAAAGTAATACGATAATGTTAGACTTTTTTTTTATTTTCTTTCTTTGCAAAATCTAATTTTTTGTTTTCTTCTTTCTTATCTCCTTTTCTTTTCCTAGTATTAATAAGTGTGAAAAAATAAATTTAAGAAAATCCGTTTATTTTTATGTTTTTGGATCTCTTAAAGTGAAAAAAAAGGAAGGATAACAATTCCAACTGTTTTGTTTTTAATTATATATAAAAAGGATAAATATATTTAAAATTTTTTTACCATACTAGTTAGATTAACGATGAGATAAAATGTCTAGAAAATAATGTTAGTAATTAAAGCAATTGTATCACTATAATTTAAAGAGATAAAGTGATAATAACAATGTAGTAATACTATAGAGTAAAAGAATATTTTTGTCCAAAATTTCTTAACATATTGAGTTAAATTACTTATGGGGATGAAATCACTAAAAGATAACGTTAGGGGGTAAACTGATAGTAATAATATAGTTTAATTGGGAAAAGTGATAATGACCGGCATTTGTTTTCAATTTTTAAAATTTTTAATTTTTTTTATAGGAAAAAATGGTAAATTCCACTTTGAACCCTTCAACTATAGATGTATTTCACTTTAGTTCTTAAACTCTAGTTTTGAACATTTTACTCCATTAAGTGTTAAATTATCCTACTTGAGTACAATCATTGGTGGAATTATCAAAATTAATTGAATGATAGGCAAGTGGTGCTCAAATTCCAGTGGCAGCAGCGGTCCCTTTGGACACAGAGGTCTCGGGATCGAATTTGCTCCCTGGAGCACCCTGCGACTTGCTCGAGAAATTTAAAAATAGGTTAGTGGCTATACTCAAGTGTGATGGATTTGTTACTTAAATAGGTAAGTGTTCAAAATTAAAATTTAAGAACTAAAGTGAAAGTACATGGATCGTTTCATGGTCAAAGTGGAATTTACTCTATGAAAAAAATTCTAAATTGAGCATTCTTTATGAATCCCTTAATTTTTGAAAAGTTGTGAACCTTAAAACTCGTATTTCATGATTTGGGAAGTAGTATGTTTAAAAATTGATCTAAATTACTCTTCCGTTCCATTTCATATGATGCATTTCATTTTTTAAAAATATATATTTTACTACCACGAAATGTTTATCATAGGTATATTTGTAACGCATACTAAGATAGACATGATTTTTAATATTAGAATTTATTTTTTTCAGTGGTACATTTGTTTCTTTTTCTATTTTTATTTTTAGTACCACTACCACGGAAAGTTCATCGTAGGTATATGATTTAGCATAAAGTCTGGTAACCCTAATGTACTAGTTTAGCCAAATTAGCCCCTTGTGTTGTGAAATGGCCAATTTATTCTTGTCTGATTTGCAGCCCATGAAATCCTAAATGGAGGAATCAACCAATTTGCATTCTTTTTCATTTCTTTTTTGGTTTTTTTTTTTTTTGGTGTTTTGGTTTCCCAGGGAGTAACTACAAATGCCTAAATGCTCCCTAGGAAACGTATCCAAAGCAAGTGCATCAGTTTCTTTTATTTCTCCTTGAAATCTTTTCTACAAAAATTCAACATAAGACGAGCCTAAACTGGGATGCTACAAGAAAATGTTGACCAGCAAAGTTTTAAAAACTCTTTTTTTAAGGGAAAAAATGTTATAAACTTTAAGAAAAATTCTTCCATTTTTTTATTGACAAAAAGTTATTTCTTTTCGTGAACAAGAAATTACAACGGGCAAGACTTATGACTCTATTTTCCATGAAATCTATTGCCCACCACAAGTTAGAACATAATTTTCACTTGGAAGTCTGAAACCAATTGCTTGTGCTCATAAGGAAATCCAAATTCACAACTAGCAATAACAGCAACAGACGATTGATCGAAATTAATCTTATAGATTAAAGAGCATAGTACTACTATAGCATGACAAGAACCTTAGCTCACATGAAAGAATACATTAGCCAAGAATTAAAAGTTTCAGATTCAAATCCCTCTACCCTTCTCCGTTTCTTAATTTACATCCTTCCCTTGTTGGGGAAAAAAATAGAGAATACATTGGCCAGCCGAAACATTAAATTCACAGATTATAAGGGTGAATTTCAATTAATTAGTCCCATTTGCAACCAATCACAGTTAATCCTCCATCAACAGCTATAACCTGTCCAGTGATGCAAGAAGCAGCAGGGAGACAAAGGAAAGCAACCAGGGATATATGAAACTTCTTCTGGTTCTCCAACTCGCCTGAACGGAGTTTTCGACTCTATCTTCTTCAAGAACTCTGGCTCATTGATCAAATATTCAACCATTAAGGTTCTAACAAACCAAGGTGCAACAGAATTGACACGAATATTATCTTTAGCCCATTCCCAAGCCAAATTCTTCGTGAGGTGATTTGTTGCAGCTTTAGTTTCTTCATAAACTGACCATCATTGCAGACTTACTATACCTGCAACAGATGAAATGAACATAATTCCAGCCCCAGATGCTTCCAGAAGGGGATAAGCAAGTTGGGAGAAATGGAAACTAGGTTCAGGATTGGTGGAAATGTGCCAAAAAGATTCTTGTGCTGTATAATCAACTGCTGGCTTCCCTGTGCATGGTGCAACATTGTTTACAGAATGTTTAGCTTGCCATTGAAGATCAAAGATAGCTTTTTGATCAGCCGAATTCTTTCCTCTCCTGAAGATACGTCATAGATAGAACCCGTGGCTTTGAACGCTTTTGAAGACCATTCTTGCAATATTTGATTGAGATGTTTCATTCCTGGAACACATGTGGTAGTGTAGCACCAAAGGAGCAAGTTCTTCGGCGATTGCTCGGCCTATTCCGCGAGTACCACCTCTCACAAGAGCAGTGGTACCTGCAAGAGACCATTTTTAAACTGTTTGCTGCCACCTTTGCCATGGATCAAAATTGATACTTTGATCACTAACACTAACAGGGTGCCCTTATATCGAAACCTGCCAAGTTTAATTAACTTCTGTAATTGGCTACAAGTTGAGAGCCAATAAACAGGCTGAGGTAAGGTGTGAGAAAAGGACAAAGTCCAGTGTGTGGACATTAATTCTTTAAATGATTCCGTTGGAATTTGGATGATCCTTCCATTGGAAACAGATAGATTGACATTTTGGTGCTTTGGCCGTTTGTTCGATTTGGTGACTTGAGATTCTAAAGAATTTGTGATAGCTGAGGGCCTGCAGCTATGCAAAATTAATCTCTCGAGTTTCTTTGTGTTAAAAAATTTCAGGATTTTAAAGATAGAGAAGTAACATTACATTTTAAGTTCAGCTGGTAGTTAAAATTTCATGATAGACAATCTGTAAGAATCACTATAAATCGTCCGGTGCTCCAACTTTAAAACGGGATTTGTCTTCGCTTTTTCTAAACTTTTTCTGACTGGAAAAAGAGAATTTTCCTAGATGCTACATGTGTATTATTGATTAAAATGTCCTGTGCAGTTGTTGTTATGTAAAATATGCATTTTTGGGAATTACATGTCTCTTAGAAAAGTTTTTACAGTATCAGCAGGGCACTTTTTCTTTTTTCCCCTGCCCTTATTCCCTCAACCTTTTCAGGTAGATATACATGCTATGAATGGGGCAGCCAGAAAATCACACTCCTGGACTAGGGCAATTGCTGTTATAATTAATGTACGATCTTCTGAGGGGCTAATCTTTCCCGAAAATATCCATATTTAGTCTTGTATTTTTTTTTTGAAAAAATAATAATAATATTATAAAACACAAGGAAGAGATTTTCTTGGATGCTACAAGTAAATTTTTGTTTCTTATTATTACTTAATTTCTAAAAGTCATCCGACAAAATTGTCTTTATACTTCAATTAAATTTAATTACGAGCATGAAAGGAACTTTCTTTTTCACTTTTTTTAAGGAAACACCATATACCGATAGAAAAATAATGGACTAAGCCACCCATTTTTGTGATGCTCATTAAAACTTCATCACCATTACAATCTCTTATGTTGGAAAAGAGGGTTTTGCCAAGCAAATATAAAAGATGTCCACTTGAATACTAATTCTACTGTCAGGAAAAAAAAAAACAACCTGCAGCCACCCAAAATTCTTCAATTGAAATTCCAAGAATCTACACTAACGTTATTTATATTTCAGTAGCTTCATTCCAAACCTATTTCTATTTCCTACACGTTTGCTTCTTTAGTTGTTATTGTTTAGTTTCCTTTTCTTTTAAAATTAACTCCAATCCAATTCTATTTAATTTGTTTCATAAGGAAACTTAATCCAATAAATTTCTTCCCAGAATAACACCTCAATGCCATCATTGCACAAATACCCTAAATAATTTTAGAAAGGGCATTCCAATTTGGAGACAAAATATAGTCTTAACTTTTTTATGGTAAAGATGTAATTGAAAAATAAAGCTAAACCAGTAAATGAAACTTGCATTTTACACTAGTTATAGTATAGGTGTAGATTAGCATTTTACTAATAAAGTGAATGTTTTTCTAAACACCTAAATCACACATTTGTTACCAAATAAATACACAAAAAAAAAGAAAGATAAATACACACAGAGCAAAATACAGCTTCTGCACAACCAACTCCGTCAATCATCCATCCAGTCTCAACCCCCCATGCTCTTAATATGCAAACTATCATCTATACCTGCAAACAACGGATCCGATACTGTCCTATTCAAAACTCAGCTAAACGTGCTCATCAGGTGATCCCTTCCTCATCAAAGGCCTGGCTGAAGATTTTTTGATCAAACATCCAACCCAAACTAAGTTCCCAATTTTCCCTACCCGTCAATATGTATCTCCAACCATTTACCACTAGCAGGATCACATAAACTATGAATTTCATAAGATTTTCTGCACTCCAAGGGTTATTAAATGTGTATGCGAGGTGTTTGGAAGTTTAAAACCATATTGCTAAAAAATAATCCCAGTTGAACGTTAGTAATCCAGGCCAATGCAAGGCATCTAATTGTCCTTCTCTGCTGCAGTTTTTGTAGATGTAGATACATTTTTCCTGCAAGGTATTCCCTCGGAATTCTAGATAATGGGTTTGAAAACTAACTTTTCGTCCCCTGTATAAAGACCTTTACAAAATTCTCAGCCTAGCTGGTAACCGAAATATGATATTGTGGTACAACTGCAATTCAGAGTGTGATGCTCTAATTCCAGCAGATGAACCAAAGTTGATGAGTTATTGTTGAGTTATGCCAGCTTTTCCTACAGATTTTATCAAATTGAGTTTGATATAAAAAATTAGTTATTAGAAAAATAAGGATATTTGTTAACAAAAGATCATGTTGGTTTGTTAACAGATATTTTAGATAAGATTTGCTAGTAGAAGGAGATTATATTTTGTTGAGATTTCTAGGATAATTGTTAGTTGGATATTTTGTTAGTTTGTTTCATGTAATCACTATAAATAGTGAGTTGATGAATGTAGAACTATAAGCTGATTTTTCACCTTCAACACAAGTCTCTTATAAGCTTTTTGCAACACTAAGGTGTTGTTTCTTAGTTTATGCCCCAAAAAACCAACAAAGTGGTATCAGAGCCTAAATCTTAAGGGTCTGTTTCTTTGAGAGTTAGTGAACCTAGTGAGAATCCCTTTTTCACACTTAAGCCTTCAACGTCAAAATGCCAGGAAACAACTTCTTATCCAATCCTCCAAATTTCAATGGTGAAAACTACCAAATCTGGGCTGTCAAAATGAAGTCCTATTTGATGGCTAATGATCTTTGGGATATGGTAGAAACAGATCATGTTCCTGAATTGTCGGAAGATCCAACTATTGCAGAGATGAGAGCCTATAGGGATGCAGTCAAAATGAGATCAAAAGCTATGACATGCATTCATTCAGCAGTTTCCGATACAGTATTTACAAAAATTATGACTTGTGAAACTGCAAAGGAAGCTTGGGATGCTCTCAAAGTGGATTTTCAAGGCAATGATAGAACAAAACAGATGCAAGTTTTGAACCTTAGGAGAGAATTTGAACTCCTTAGGATGAAAGACAAAGAAAACATTAAAGAGTACTCTGACAGACTCTTAAATGTTGTGAACAAAATCAGATTGATTGGAGAACAACTTCCAGATAGCAGAGTTGTGGAGAAAGTCTTGGTGAGTTTACCAGAAAGGTTTGAAGCCAAGATTTCCTCTCTTGAAGATTCAAGGGATCTATCTCAGATGACCTTGCCAGAATTGATCAATGCTTTAGAGGCACAAGAACAAAGACGAGCCATAAGAACTGAAGAAGTCGTTGAAGGTGCTTTTCAAGCAACAAATGAGGATCAAATTCGACAAGGTGAGAGAAATGATCAAAAAAAAATTTAGCAAAGATGAGAAGAAAAATGGCAGAAATCCTCCGTGTCCACACTGTAAGAAAACCTCACATCTTTCAATATTTTGTTGGTTTAGACCTGATGTTCAATGTAGGTTTTGTAAGCAAATGGGACATATGGAGAGAGTTTGCAAAAATAAAGGAAAAAGAGAACATCATGCTCAGATGGTTGATGAACAAGATAAGGAGCAACTTTTCGTAGCCACTTGTTTTGCAAGCAATAATTTCAGTACTGAAACTTGGCTAATAGACAGTGGTTGCACTCATCACATGGCTTATGATGAATCTATATTTAGGAAACTTGATAAATCGCAAATCTCCAAAGTCAGAATTGGAAATGGAGATTATATTGAGGTGAAAGGCAAAGGTAGTGTTGCTATTGATTATGGTTCAGGTACCAAAATTATTTCTGATGTTTTGTATGTGCCTGAAATTAATCAAAATCTATTAAGTGTTGGACAGTTATTGGAGAAGAATTATTCTGTCATCTTCAAAAACAGGACTTGTGTTATACATGATCCAGTTGGGAATGAACTTTTCTCAGTGAAAATGAGAGGCAAAAATTTTGCTTTGAATTTGTCAGAAATTGACAATTCTAAGGTGCAGTATTATGAACCAAAAAATTTAGATGATGCTAAAATTCAGGAGGAGATCATTGATGAGACAATCGAAGGAGGCTACATTGTGGAAATTCATGAAAAGTTACCCAAGGATGATGGTAGTGACAAAGCTGATGAAAGGCCATACAAAAATTTGAATGATTGTTTTATGTCTCTCATAGCAATCTTTTTTTGTATTGCGAATTTCTGTTTCAGGTTCATCTATTGCGTATGGGAGTTTCACTTTCAAGTTGCAAAGAAGTCATTTGAATACATCAGAAAATTTGATATTGGTTTTGAAGGTTGTCTCAAGAAACATTGCAAGACTGAAGACCAGATTGCAGACATTTTTATGAAAGCCTTGTCCAAAACAAGGTTCAAAGATTTGAGAAGAAAATTAAAAATCTGCAGCAAAAGTGGCAAGGAGGAGTGTTGAGTTATGCCATCTTTTCCTACAGATTTTATCAAATTGAGTTTGATATCAAAAATTAGTTATTAGAAAAATAAGGATATTTGTTAACAAAAGATCATGTTGGTTTGTTAACAGATATTTTAGATAAGATTTGCTAGTAGAAGGAGATTATATTTTGTTGAGATTTCTAGGATAATTGTTAGTTGGATATTTTGCTAGTTTGTTTCATGTAATCACTATAAATAGTGAGTTGATGAATGTAGAACTATAAGCTGATTTTCCACCTTCAACACAAGTCTCTTATAAGCTTTTTGCAACACTAAGGTGTTGTTTCTTAGTTTATGCCCCAAAAAACCAACAGTTATGAATAATGTACCAAAGTATTCCTGATTGGTAGTGTTATTGGTCCAGTTTTTACATGCAATAGGCACTCAATTTTATCAAAGAAAGCATGCGAACTGATTAAGAAGTAACTTCCTGCAAAACATCCATGTCCAACTATGCGTGTTCATCCAAACTTCTTTGAAGGTTGCCCAGTAGTAGAGCCTTGAAGTTTC